AGCAGGAATTCCAGCAGTCCCACAAGCAGCGCAAGCCAGAGCAAACTGTCTCACCCAGGTCACTTCTCCAATCACAGTTTTGCAGCTGCAGAGCAAGGGCTGAATTGCTTCCCAAGCACCGCTTCCCTTACCTCCCTGCTTTGGCCCCAGCACAGCCTGCCGGGAGAGCAGATCACATGTGGCACTAAGCCCCCTGGCTCACACTTTTCTTCTGTTCCCAAGATTCATCGCAGCTGCAAGCCCTTCCCCACACCCATAAATAAAGCCCAAGATAAAAAAAAAAACAAAAACAAAAACACATGGAGCCTAGCCTTATTATCAGGTTAAAAGCAATAGCTTTAGATAGAGTGAATGGGAAAATAGGTATTGCTGGTGGTAAGTAATGCAAAGCAAGAAAAGAAAGTAGGCCAAAGCCTCAAGATCAGGACATGAGAATACAAACAAGGAGGAGTAGAAATGGTCAGAAAGACTTACCAGCTCTTGTGCCATGGTATAGCATGAAAGGAAAAAAAAAAAAAAAAAAAGAACTAACCCTGACACTTTTCCTTCAGACTACCTCCTTTCCCCCATTCGTTCTCTCACATAGGAGAGCTACCAAAAGAAGGATCTCTTTGCTAGCACAAATCCTAAAGGGACTGCCTGGAGACCTGCAAAAAATGTAGAACATTCAATCTCTTTGCCTGAAGTCTTTCATTTGGCAACATGAGTCAGTACTCCCTAATGACTTGATTTACACAAGTTCCTCTGTTTTTTATAGATCAGTCAGGTAATGTTTTGAACATATTAAGCACGGTATGCATATTGGGAGGCATGTCGCATCCTAGGTGGGCCTTCAGTGGACAAGCAGGACTCTTAGGCCTGAACTAACACATCTCGGAATTCAAGAATTAACAGCACTTCTACGGGATGAAATGTTTTTGAGTCCTGGCCCTTTAATTATGGTACCTCTAGTAAGAAAGCATTAAAAGTAGTTATCACCAGTTTTTTCTTCAGCTAGAAGAGATAATAGTATCCTTCTGGATCTGCCTCGTTAATCCTCTATCCAGACCTGTTAAACCCTCACCATTTCCTTCCCTTATTTCTCAGTCATGCAGAACAGTCCTTTCCCTCTGTTGCTCCTTTTTCCCAAAGCAAAGCAACAAGAAAAAAAATGTTCTAATGGTTTTAGACCAGCAGACATTAAGAAATTAAAATGAACTATAAGCAAATGTCTTTTTTCCTATGAAAGGTTCCAGAAACAAAGTAGGCAGATTTTCATAATTATTTCCTCCCAATGAGCTGATGAAAAGAGCAGGGTTCCTAAGAACATGTTCACCTTTTCTTTTATACATATATAAAATAATATATATGACCAGTTTATGCATGCATACATATATGTTTAATAAAGGATTAAAATAGTTAAACTGAGTTACTTCTATTCCTTACTTCATTTCTACTCTTTTTAGTGTTTGGACAACTCCTCCAATCTCCAGGAGGCTAACACAGTACCCTGGTCCCCCTGGAACCCAATCGCACCATTCCTGCAACCACTGCGTGAGTCACTGCAGCGCAGCATGACGTTCCCTTTGTGAAGCATGGGTTCCCAAACCACCATCCACAGAAAGCTGGCTGGCTACATGCTGCTGGCATTGCTCCTTACTTCCAACTGTTATATGACTTTAAAGACAACCGTAATGCATTAAATGCTATCCTGATATTAATTTCCCTTGTAAGCTATTACTTCGGTTGCCACAGGGCAACTACGTTCTTGGGAATGAGTAAGTAGGTGTCGCAACACAAACTCTCTTCTAAGATACAGTCCACATTCAGAAAAGAGAGTGGAAACTGTTGTTGTAGATAACATGACAGCTCTCTGTGCAAATTTCCCAGGTCCGGAAAGTCTGAGGACCAGACTAAGACCAGATCATGTTCTGCTCCACCATATGGAGATGCAAGACACCAGGCCAGTTGCTTGTTTTATTTAAACATGTGTTTCTTTTACTAGCAGTATTAACATTGCCTTGTTCCTGTTTATACTTAAAAAAAGGAGAAAATAAACTAAATAACTTTTTTCCTCTGATTTTGTTTTTGTTCTTTTAAGACTTCCCTGTTCCTGTCAAAGTAAGTTAAGATAAACAGAAACAAGGCATTTTTGTTCC